TCCGCCTCCACCGCCGCCACCGACACCTCCACCCCCACCACCACCCCCACCGCCACCCCCACCCCCTCCACTGCCTCCACCGCCGCCTCCACCGCCCCCGCTAGCTCCTCCAGTGCCCCTGCCCCCCTTGCCCTTGCCAGGGCGGCGTCTCCCGCTAGGGGTAGACGCCGCACCGACCGACTCAAGCCCAACGAGGTCGGCCGCAGCAGCAGAGGCAACAGAGGGCAAAAGGGGGGAGGGGGAACACCCCTCAAAGATGGGGGTGCGAGGGTCACCACGAGAGGCTCCTACAGCTACTATGCTCTTCTCTGCTGCTAGGAGGGACTTCTCGAGGAGGTCAACGGTGAGAGTGGTGGGGCAAACTGAGAGGAAGTGGTCCCTGACTACACGAAGGGAGTCAGGGAGCCGGGTGACTATGTAGTAGAGGGTGATGTACATGGGGGGGGGGTTCTTGGCGCAGAACTCAGCAGGAAGAGCAGCGCGGTAGCGAGTGTCACTAGTGCGGAGGTGCGTAATGAGGTCAGCGACTGTGGGAAAGGCAGCAAGGTCAGGGAAGAGGTACGGTAGCATGAGGCGGCTCAGTGCAGCAGTGGCAGGGGAGGAGTAGCGCGCAACTACAGCGTCGTACAAGGTCTGAGCACTCTTGTACTGGCTAAAGTGCGCACGCTCAGAGGTAGGCAGGTGGCGACGCACAGCAAGACGTGCAGCAGCATCGCGCGTGGCCCACTGTGAGCGAACAGTGGCGTCAGCATCAGCAGCGGGGGCAGGAGAGGCACCAGAAGTGAGGTCAAAGAGGGAGAGGCCGTCTGCTCTGTCGCACTGTAAGAAAAGCTGCAGGTCATCTATCCAGACGTCAAAGTCAATGGCCCGACCCTCAGCGTCAAAAGCGAGGACACTAGGGGTAGCCATGACAGCAGTAGACTAGCAGCGCAAACAGTAGGGTGAGGGCAGTGCTGTGAAAGAGGCGCTGCTCTTACCGGACAGGGCGGCTCGGGTGGTTCGGCTGCAGGGCGGCTCGGCGGCTCGGCTGCTGGGCGGCTCGGCGGCTCGGCTGCTGGGCGGCTCGGCGGCTCGGCTGCTGGGCGGCTCGGCGGCTCGGCTGTTGGGCGGCTCGGCGGCTCGGCTTCTGGGCGGCTCGGCTGCTGGGCGGCTCGGCGGCTGGGCGGCTCGGCTGCTGGGCGGCTCGGCTGCTTGGCGGCTCGGCGGGGCCGCTGAGAGGGCGGCGTCCGGGGCCACTGGGAGGAGGCGGCGGGGCCGCTGAGAGGAGGCGGCGGGGTCGCAAAGGTAGGTGGCGGGGCCGTAGGTAGGTGGCGGGGCCGCTGGTAGGTGGCGGGGCCGCAGGAAGGTGGCGGGGCCGCAGGTAGGTGGCGGGGCCGCTGGTAGGTGGCGGGGCTGCAGGTAGGTGGCGGGGCCGCAGGTAGGTGGCGGGGCCGCTGGTAGGTGGCGGGGCCGCAGGTAGGTGGCGGGGCCAGCAGGAAGGTGGCGGGGCCGCACAGGTAGGTGGCGGGGCCGCGGGTAGGTGGCGGGGCCGCTGGTAGGTGGCGGGGCCGCAGGTAGGTGGCGGGGCCGCACAGGTAGGTGGCGGGGCCGCAAAGGTAGGTGGCGGGGCCGCGGAGGGTGTAAGGGGCCGCGCGAGGGGCCGTAAGGGACGGCGCGAGAGGCCGTAAGGGGCGGCACGAGGGGCCGTAAGGACGGCGCGACGGGCGCGACGGGCCGTAAGGGCGGCACGAAGGGCCGTAAGGGCGGCGCGAAGGGCCGTAGGGGCGGCGCGACGAGCCGTGAGAGGGCCGCTAAGGGCGACGCGACGGGGCCGTGAGGGGCCTAGCGAGGGCGCGACGGTAGGGAGAGCACACCGGGCGCGACTCGGGCCGGAGCGAAGCGCGCTCCGGGCAGGAAAAAAAAATTCGTGGTGGTGGGCCCTAGGAATCGTTCCCACTAGGGAACCTACTCGATACCATGAGAAGAAACGAGGAATGAAATGACTAAGGGAAAGTTGGGTACAAATGCAAACCCTAGGAAAACTGTACCCCATATGTGCTACCCCACTATAGCCTACAGTAGCTATGTCATATAAATCTGACATTCGCGCCTCAGGCAGTGATGCTAAAACGACCAGCAAAACACCCACATTGACTAATTAAAAAAACACTAACACTAAGATATGCCATATGTAAAGACCCGGGTATTATGTATTTTTTTCCTATGAGGAGACCCCCCCCCATTTTTTCCCTGTATTTTTAGCTATACCCTAGGGTGTTATGTCCGGGAGAATACGGTACTTCTTTATAATCAATCTATCTTGCCCTCACATACCATCACAAGGTGGTTCGTTAGTTTGTCATTAAACGCTTCCGCAATACAACATTTCTATCAGAGTTTAAGCCTTGAAAGATCCTAAGGGCTTTTCTCAGCCCAACAAACATGTGCATTCCCTTGTCACAGCACGAGCATTTAGTGCACAATTAGATCAGGCGTCCCATTACTACCAATAGCCCTGTACATTGAAGAAGCAGATCAAAACTGAAACTGGATGAGATGGAAGTCACTTGAATGACTGTCACAAATTAAAACAACGTAGACACAACCTACCTAACTCTGATAAGGTGTACGTACCCTTCCTTGAGGAAAAAAAAAAACACAAGAAAAAGGGAGTTATTTCCTCATGATAAAACAGCACTCTCCAAGCACTTGTGCTCCCCCTTTCATCTCATGGCGCTGCGCAGGAAAATGGGGCGGATTTGGCGCTGGTGCAGATTTTTTCGGCACATGGGGCACTGCCTGGTCTCTCTGATAGCCATAGTGATGCAGTCTCGGCAGAACACATGCCCACATGGCGTCACCGTCTCCTCACTCATATCATCCAGGCACACAGAGCACATCAAATGCATTCCCCCCCCTGCTCTCCCTCCCCTTTCCATGCCACCATTATCCCCCTCACCTACTGCTGCTCCAACGACCGATGCCTCTGGCTCCTCCACCCTTCTCCTTCCACTTCCACCTACCCCACTTCCTCCTCGTAACGCACCCCCCTGCACCGAAACCGGAACCCTCATCATCCCGCGACGTGTGGCCGGACTCACAGCAGCCGATCTCACGGCAGCTGGATCCATGGCTGCAGCACCTTAGTTCGGAAAGACGCAGATAGGACGCAGCGTCCTGCGTCCGGACGCAGCGTCCGGACGCTAGGACGCAGGACGCGCGTCCAGACGCAGGACGCTCGTCGAATTTTTTTTCGGGCTGCCCGGAAAAAAAAAACCCGGATCGCGATTTTGGCATTCGCGATTTCGACTCGAATGTCGAAATCGCGAAATTTCCTGTCCTAAGCCCAATTCGCCATTCAAAACCAGCCCCCCTAACATTCCCTAACAACTCAACCAAAATTGAATTTCACTCAAACCTCTCAACCACTTAGCATCTACGAATCCCAACCTTTGTAGCCCAGCCCACCACCACCAAGCACATTTAGCATGGCAACCTTTTGTGGCTTCTCATTTTCCCCTCACCAATTCTCTTTCGTAAACCCATAGAGGTTTTAGGTCTTAGCTTAGCTTACCACCTAAACTCCGCTCTGGCTTCCTAAACGTAATGTGTGTGAGACCTTGTGAAATGTGTGACACGTGACTCACCTTAATCTCATATTTTGGGGAAAAATTTTGTGGTTGGGGAACATTTTGTGGTATGACACCCCCCCCCCCCTCTCCCAAGCCCTATACATTTTTTTTTTGGCCTGCCCGGGGGTTTTTTTTGCCCTGCCCGGGCTTGCGTCTTTTGGTGCGTCTCACAGGTCCAGGTTCAGCGTCCTGCGTCTGGACGCATGCGTCTGGACGCATGCGTCCAGGACGCAGGACGCGTCTTTCTGAACTAAGTGCAGCACCACCTGTGCTAGTGCTACTCCAATGCCGCTGCCTCCTTGCACCTGCTGCACTGTCTACCCCATGGCTTCTGTGCCTGGCAACAGCACCCTGTAACTCTCTGGAAGTACCACCACGCACTAGCAGCACTTCAGGTGAATATGCCACTTGTTCTGCTACCCCTCCCCCTCCCTCTGCCCCTACATCTTCTTCCAGGTCAACCACCTGCCTCTGCCTCTGTCTCTGCACCCGATCATTATGCCGTTGCTCATTCTCACCCCAGGTGGCAGCAATCCGTGCTTCACCACTTAACCGCACGGGTGCCCTTGTCTCGCGGGTGCGACTGGCGACTCGCCGCTCATGCTGAGCCCTTGCCTCATGGCCAGCCCGTGCCTCATGGCCTGTGTGCCTGACCGATGGCGAGACGATTTGACAGTCATCATCATCATCTACAACTAGCACTGTGATGGCAACCCCTTCCCTCCCTTCCACACCAACAGTAGCAGCAGCAGCTGCAGCACCCACAACTGCTTCCCCTGCACCTGCATCAGCGATGCTAGCCCCAGATTGAGCACCCTCCGGCTGCTGTGCAATCTCCCTGCTCCTTGTGTGACTTTCGAAATAATGTGCGGCAGCAGCGGTAGCGGCAGCGGCAGCAGCAGCAGCAGCAGAGGGAGCAGAAGCAGCAGCAGAAGTGGAGCGGAGGTGGCGAGGGGCATGACTGGCTGCTGCAATGGCTTGGGGAGTGGGCAAGGTGACAGCACAGGTGCGTACCAACAAGAAGGAATGCATGTTCAGGCGAAGAAGAAGAAGAAGAAGAGGGATTTCAGGCGAAGAAGAAGAAGAAGGGGGATCAGAAGGTGACAGGCAGAAAGATGATGGAAAGAATGGCATGGATGGAAAAACGACATCTGAGGGCGGTGGAATGGAGGATGTGCGAGTGCCAGCGTTGGCAGAACTGGTAGAAGTTACTGACAACTGTCCGTCCCATCCCATGTAGGAGAAAAATGCCTCCACTGCACCTCATCATTCACATAACCTACTCAACCACTCACTCAAGTCAATCCTCACACTCAGACCCTCACAATCGGCCCTCGCACTCAAATCTCACCCTCAACCCTCACACACAACAACCCTCACACTCCGCCCTCACAGCATACCAGCTGCCTGCCGCGTGACTCGGCGAGCCTGCGCATGAGTGCTGGAAGCATTTGCACGCGAGGAGGAGGAGGAGCGCGCAGGCATGAAGAACTGGCGCACACCCGTACCACCACCACCACCACCACCACCACCACTCTGACCTGCACCCGTTGGTGCTCCCCCCCTCGTGCTCCTGCGCCTGCCGTCGCTCCGCACCTGCTTGCATGAATGCGCCAAGCATGAGTTGACAAGAAAGCCAGGTTTGTGGAAGTGTGCAGGCATGAAGTAACGCTGGAGCCACACCACACCACACCACACCACTGTGTTCTGCCTGTGTCAACAGTTCTGCACGAAGTAACAGCAACATTACCCTCGTGATCCTTTGCCTTCCGCCTCCCTGCCTGCGCCTGCTTGCATGGACGAGAAAAGAAAAGCATGATGTTTTTGCCAAGGGTTGGTTGGAGCAGCAGCGGGTGAAACGGAGGATGAGGGCGCAGGACTGGTGTAAGCGGATGGCGTGAAAGTGGTGGTGCAGGGAGAGTGGGTATTTAAGAATTCACAAAAATCACCTCTTGCTGGCGATGGGGGTAGCACCCACGCCAGGGAAAGAGGGATGGGCGACGGGTGAAGAGAGAAGGGCGGCGCTTGAAGCGCGAAGGGAGACAGGGAACGCGTGACAGGGAAGGGGCGGACGACGGGTGAAGACAGAACGGCAACGGGCGAAGAGGAAGGGCGAGCAGCAAGGAGGGAAGGGCGGGAGGGCAGCATACTCTCATTGCCATGCAGAAGCCAAAGTGCAGAGAGCGTACAGCATCGGGAGAGAGAACGAGCACATCGTCGTCGTCCTCCCCACTTAGATCAATCGTCTCGCGCATTCTCCCGTTGTCATCAGCCCTCTGCTCCGCATCCCCCCGTTGCCCTGCACTCCTCCCCCGCTGCTCCCCGCTCCCCTCTTGCTCCCCATTCGCACGTTGCTCCTCCGTCCGCAGCTCTTGATCCGCCGATCCATCATCACCTGACGCTTCTTCCCATGCTCCCCGCTCTGCTTCTCCCGAACCAACTTCCCCAGCTCCATAGCATGCTGCCATTGTTGCTTCGCCTGCAGACGCTGCACGTGCACGTTCTGCTCCATCACTTAACTCCGCCGTCTGTGCATCTGTTTCCTCCATATCCACTCCCGCGCTCACCACTTCTTCTGCCCGGATGCCCACCTCCCCTTCCTCTCCTGACGCTCCCATCTCCCCTTCCTCTCCTTCCTCCCCTTCCTCACCTGCTTCCCCTTCCTCACCTGCTTCCCCTTCCTCTCCTTCCTCCCCTTCCTCTCCTTCCTCCATTTCTTCCCCTTTCTCAACTGCCTCTTCTTCCTCTACTTCCTCTGCATCCTCTCCATCCTCCATTTCCTCCCCTTCCTCGCGTCCCTCCCCTTCCTCTCCTTCCTCCCCTTCCTCTCCTTCCTCCCCTTCCTCTCCTTCCTCCCCTTCCTCTCCTTCCTTTCCTTCCTCTCCTGCATCCCCTTCCTCCCCTTCCTCTCCTTCCTCCCCTTCCTCTCCTTCCTCCCCTTGCTCTCCTTCCTCCCCTTCCTCCATTGCCACTCCTTCCTCCCGTTCAACACTTTCCGGTACCGCCGCTCTTGCCCCTTCCCCCTCTCCCCCCTCTCCCGCCTCTCCCGCCTCTCCATCCACTTCACCGGACTCTCGCTCGTCACTGGGACCAGCAAACCCGCCTTCCTTTCCTCTCGTTGACCTTCCATCGGATCTGAGTGAAAAATCCTGTTTGGAAAAATCGTTCAGATTCATTCCATTCGTTGCCGCGCCTTGGACAGACCAATCCGAACCTTCAGCTCCCAGATGCTGCCGATGCAGTATCCAAGCTCCGCTCGATTCCGCCGCTGCCGGATCGTCCAGAGCAACAGCAAGCGTTTCCAAGAAATTTGCAGCTCCTACTGCTTCAACCGTTTCTGCAGGTTCTGATGCTCCTGCTGTTTCCGCTGCTCCTGCTGTTTCCGCTGCTCCTGCTGTTTCTGCTGCTCCTGCTGTTTCCGCTGCTCCTGCTGTTTCTGCTGCTCCTGCTGTTTCCGCTGCTCCTGCTGTTTCTGCTGCTCCTGCTGTTTCCGCTGCTCCTGCTGTTTCTGCTGCTCCTGCTTTATCCGCTGCTCCTGCTGTTTCTACTGCTGCTGCCGTTTCTGCCGCTCCGCCTGTTTCTGCTGCTCCTGATATTTCTGCTGCTACAAGTGCTTCTGCTGCTGCTGCTGTTTCTGCTGCTCCTGCTGTGTCCGCTTCTCCTGCACTTTCTGCTGCATCAGCTGCTCCTCCCGTTTCTGCAGTAGGTTCCGATTTTCCCGCAAACCGAATCTGCTCATTGCGAGCACGGGGCGAGGAAGATGTGTCATCGGGCAGCTCAAACTGATCGGAACAGACAAACCGACCGTGATTTCTCTTTCTGGAAACTCCAGCCACGACGGGAGAGCGATCACAGCCGTCGATCTCATTCGCGCCTGGCACATCCGCCAATGGCACTGAGGCGATCGTGGATTGTTGCGGAGCCGGGATGGCAACAGGCCACGGATCTTGACCGTCGGATCTTGGATAGTGGGTTGAATCATTGGCGGTCGCTTCAGCAGGTGATTCGATAGCAGCCGGGGGACTGGCAGGGAAAGGGAACGAGGAATTGATAGTGGTTTTGGCGGTGCAGTCACCGTTAAGTTTCTTCAGTCGCTTCAACGAGTGCTGTGACCGTGCGTCGTCGCGGAGTGAGCACAGTTCGGCTTCGAGATTCGACGACGCCATTGAGAGATGCGATAGGAAATTATGGAGCAGGAAACATGAGGAAAGAGTTTCCAGAGACGGAACTTAGTGTTGTGACCTCATCCTACCACTATTCGGAGTTCACGAGTGCCAAGAACCTGAGGACGCAGAAGAAACTATGGGTTCGGGAATGGATGTGAGCCCTAGAAAACTCCAGGAATGCATATCTCCAAAGCGAGGAGGCTTTCCGTTACACCGCTTCGCGATACCAGTTTCCGCTAAGATGTCGGTGTACATTAGAGTTGAAAAAAACAGAACTGGTCAAAACATACAGATCGCACATAGGATTTTTTTTTTTTTTTTTTTAATCAGATCCCACCATTCAACATCTTCTGCATTCAGCAAAGGTTTTGATTTGTATAATTGTGCGTACATCTTGTTGGTACATCTTCGGGGGCACAAACAAAGTAGACACGTAAGTTAGTCGAGATATCTAATAATTCCATCAGAATATCACCCTTTCATACGCTGCGGTGTGAGAAATAAAGACCTTGCTGTGGCAGCCTGAGACACGGGAGGCACGGATAGCGGATGACAGAAACGTTAATGCACCTCTACCATTAAGGCAAGCATTTGTTTTTGTTCGGACAAGACGTGCAAACCATCACGTGTGAAAACGGGGGAGATTAAAGGGTGTTACAATCCCAAGTGGGACTTAGCGAAGGATTGTTCAGGGTTGATCGCAGAGTAGTATTGCAGCGGAAGTATTGAACTCAGGTCAGAGTGAATGTAAATGACTAAGATGATAAAAATATGCATACATCGGGTTTATATAAGAAAACAAGGGAGTACGAAAAGACTTAGACTAGCCATGTACTCTAAGGGGTACATTCTCTGATTGCAGCGAATTCAAACCGTGCGGCGCGAGAACCCGTTTCAAACCTGTTCCCGCTCTTTTCACTTCAAATGTTTCTGCCTGCATCGGTCTTGGTCAGACGGTTGTTGCGTCGCTTCGACTCTTCTGACTCCTCGACTTCATATTCGGTAGAGTCGGCTCCTACAGCATACAGGAATGCCTTCTCATATGATTTCATATCGTAACACTCCCCTTCATTCCTGGGCGCACAAGGTGCTGACTCGCTTGACTACTCCGGTGAGGTCAGAGCAATGTTTGTATTGCTGACGTGGCAGTCGCTTGGTAAGGAAGTCAGCTGCCATTTCGGTGGTTGGGCAGTACGCGAGGTCAACTTTCCCCTGGTCAATTTCGTCCTTGACGAAAAAGTACCAAAGTGCAATGTGCTTCGTGCGGTTCACGAAACCCTGCTTGTTCGCGATCTTGATGGCGCTCTGGTTGTCGCAGTGGAGACGAAAGGTAGGCGAAGTTGGGATTTTCGCTTCCTGCAACAGTTCCTGCAGGTACAGGCCTTCGCGAACTGCTGCTGTTGCGGCGATGTATTCTGCTTCAGCCGATGACAAGGCAACCAGCTCCTACATCTGTGAGTTCTAGGAGATTGGCCCGGTTGGTTCCAGATGGAAAACAAAGCCGGTTTGGGAACGTCGATTCGCAGGATCTGCGGCATGATCTGCATACATGTAGCCGTTGAGGTTGAAGGAGGTTGTCGTCAGTGTGGAGTAGGAGAGCCCGATGTCAGGTGTGGAGATGAAGTACTGCATGGCGCGTTCCAGGTCCAGCTGGTTTTCAGCTACTGGCTTACAAGAGTACTGCGCCAGTTGGCTGGCGATGTACGAGAGGTCGAGTCGGCAGGTGACAGATGCGAACAGCAGGCATCCCAGTTGCTGCTGGTACAGTTGAAGTCCCGCATGGGATAGAGGTTTGTTGTCCGGTTTGTAGTTGGCCCTGGGATTGTGATAGGGAGTTGAGAGTGGTGCGAGCGAAATGTTGAATCATTCCCTCAGGTGCTCTGCATACTTGGAGGCTGACAGGTGAATTGCTTCTGGCGCGTAGGTGATGTTCAAGCCCAGAAACTAATGACGTTGTGGTTGATGGTAATGTCAAAGCGCTGCGTCAGGTTTTCCTCAAACTGGTTAAGGAGTTTGTTGCAGGTGCCGGTGTACAGCAAGTCGTCAACGTAGACTGTCAGGAGAATGTAGTCGCCGCTGAAGTGAAGGCGGTACATTCCCAGGTCGTGCGGCAGCTGCTTGAAGCCGATTTCCACGAGAATTTTATGCAGATGCTGCTGCCAGAGACAAGGCGCCTGCTTGATCCCGTAGAGGGACTTCTTCAGCTGACAGACCTTGGAGTCTCCTTCCCCATAGGTGTGTGGCTGCTCCACGAAGATGGTTGCGTCCACTAGTGCGTATAGAAACGTGTTCTTCATGTCGATCTGCCGCAGTGGTAGATGCTTAGCGGCGGCAATGGCAAGTAGAATCCTGACGGAGGTGTGACGGCTGACGGGAGCAAAGGTTTGAACGAAGTCAATGCCGTGGTGCTGATCATACCCACGTACGACCCAGCGTGCTTTGAAGCGTTCAATTGTGCCGTCGGCGTTAGTCTTCAGGCAAAAAACCCATTTTCCGCTGAGCACCCTCCTCCCCTTCACTGCTGCACGATCGACTAGGACCCATGTGTCTCGAGATTCCAGCGCCTTTAGCTCCGCATCCAACGCGGCACGCCACTCCTTGGCGTGAGGGCCGGTGAGGGCCTGGCGCAGGTTCTTGGGTTCGACAGCGCGCGCGAGAGTAGTGACGGAAGTGTGCAGGCTGAGTAGTTGCAGGCCGGACACGTTGGTAGTGGTGTCTGTGGTGACTTCCACCACATCGTCATTGCTACTCTCGTAGCCGTGTGAGGTGGTGCTTGGTCCGGCTTGGCGCTGCGATGGCCCTGGCACGGGAGTGTCATCACTGTCATCGTCGTCGTTGCGTGGGCGAGGCGGTACGCTCGGATGCTCGTCGGTGTCATCGCGGTCCAGTGCCGCTGCTGCTGCCTCGTCTTCTGAAGACGCGAAGCTGCGGCCGCTGTTGACGTAGCCCCGTGCCTCGTTGCGACGTTCGTCGTTGATCCACCGCTTCAAGGTGAGTTCTCGTAGAAAAGAACGTCACGCGCGGGAACAATTTCCTTGCTGTCGATGTCGAGGATGAGCGAAACTTTGTGCTCGTTACTGAGTCCCAAATGAACTCCCCAGCGCGCTCAGTGAACGAACTTTCCAATTGTGGCTGAGGTCGGTCGATACTGCACCATGCTGTCCGGTGAAAGGTTCTCTCTGTTGGCTGTGGGGAGAGGAGGTTGTGCAGGCGCACCGCGCGATTCATGGCGTAGGGCCAAAGCTTCTTGGGTAGGCCGGACTGGTTCATGAGGGCGCGTACTTTCGTCATGAGGGTGCGATTAACCCTCTCCGCGACGCCTTGTTGCTGGTGAGCGTAGGGGAGAGAGATCTCATGCTTGATCCCCTTCTCAGTTAGAACGTTCTCCAGTTCGTAGCTGGGAAATTCCTTGGCCCCGTCGCTCAGCCAGATTTTCAGCTTCCTCCCCGATTGTCGTTGCGCATGTGCGAGCCAGATGCGGAAGACTTATGGAGCCTTGGAGCGAGCGTCAACGTTGGCGACCCAGACGTGGCGTGAGTAGGCGTCGATGAAGGTGAGCGTGTATTTTTCGCCGTTGATGCCGTCGCATGTGAGAACGATGAAGTCGCTGTACACCTTCTGCGCTTCTTATAGCGATTGGTGCTTGGTTCCTGGGAGGGGTAGGCGCTGTGTGAAAGAGCGGCTGTGGGGCAAACGGTGCAGGTGACTGGATGTGGGGTGTTGTGAGGTTCTGTGCCATCAGGGCGCAGCAGTGCTCCTGGGAGAAAAACCTTGGCACAGAGATAGTTGGTAAGAGTCTGGCACGAGGGGTGGCCAAGCCTCTGGTGCCAGAGATTGTCTTTGGCGCGAATGCCGCTGGTGCGCATGTAGCGAGCATGATGCTCTGCTGCTTCCGCCTCCGTCTCTTGCGGAATCTGGAGTGAGGGTTCTTCCACTTCTCCTGTTCTGCTTCGTTGTCCGGCTCCTCTGTTCCTGCTTTTGCTGCTGTTTCTCCTTCTGCAGGTGCTGTT